CTTGTAACTCTGGTGGCAGCATCTTCATTGCTAATATTTGCCGATGAATCATACAGTGAGTTCCGATGTCTTTTGGTGACTCATTCAGTACTAAACGTTGAACTCCAGATCGACATCCTAGCATAGCTGGAGCACCATCTGTGCAAACACCACAAACCTTTTCCCAAGACATCTTTCGCTCTTTCAGAAATGAACCAACTGTGTCAAATACATCGCATGCAGTAGTTGTCATTTCAAGAGATTTGCAAAAAATAAACTCATCTTTAAGTCACCATCATTAATATACTTCACATAAACCAGCAACTGTGAACAGTTTGCAATGCCTGTAGATTCATCAAGCCGGATGCTAAATATTGCAAGTGGAGCAGATTTAATTTCCTGGATGACCTGATCAAGAATATCCCTAGACATGTCATCTATTCTTCTGTGGACAGTGTTGTTAGATAAGGAAATTGCACTCAATTTCATAACAAATTTGTCTCCAATCATAACTCGAACAATGTCTTTGGCTGCCCACAACAGTAAATCCCAGCAATGGTGTGAGGTTTCATAGCTCTGGCAATTCTGAGTGCCACCAAATACGAAGCTTCAACAGCTGCTACGTTTGGTTTGTGGTACTTGCCACCAGTGCCAAGTCTGGCTAAGTTGAGTCCATCACCTTTACTTCTAAAATAGTTGATATCCTTGCCAGCAAAGCTTGGATGCTTGCTATCAAATGGCATTTTAGTTTGTTTGGCTTCATAGATTCAGCTGATAGAACTTCACAACAAACAACACATGCAGTTTCTCAATTCCTGCTGTAATTATTGATGTAAAACCATACTGTAAAAAGTCCTCACTTGGTAAAGAAAGCTGATGGTGCCCGACTATCAAAAGATATAGCGTCTGGGGTCTTAAAGACTTGAAGGTAAACAGTGGCCATTTAGCTCAGAAGCAACAAAGCCCACATGGAAGAAGAGTACACCAGCCTGTGCGATCACGAGGTGTCGAAGGGATAAGGTATTCGTCATCAGAAAGAAAAATCATATCATAGTGAATGAGGAGGGGAGTGTGCAGTGGAGACCCAAAGCCCATTTGTAAGCCACTGGACATCCCCTTACAGGAGGATCTCGGGGAGGAGATAAGCCAGTCAGGGTGTGATGTAGCAACAATGAAACATACAACTTTCCTCTAGTTCCTAAATGCTTCCTCCACTATCATAATCCCAATTCTACCTTACAAATATGGCTGGACCAGAGGATGTACACCGGTACAGATAGGAACTGGAAACATAGGGAATCCAGGGGGGATGATCCCTTCAGGACCAGTGGTGTGAGTGGTGATAATGGGAGGGTAGGGAAGGGTGGGTTGGAAAGGGGGAACTGATTACAAAGATCTACATGTTATCTCCTCCCTGGGTGATGGACAACAGAAAAGTGGATGAAGGGAGATGTCGGACAGGGCAAGATATAACAAAAAATTTATAAATTAGGGTTCATGAGGGAGGGGGGGAGCAC